CTTGATAAGCAAACGAAGTTACAGGGTTGTCACAAGTGCCGCTAATACCTTCGAGAAAAGGATGGTATACGGCTGTGCTCTACTTGGCTTCTTATTTGCTTACAGATTAGTTTAGAATTAGAATTTAGAATTAAAAAAATTATTAATTAAAAAAATTCTAATTACAGATTAGTTACGAGTTACGATATTTGCATGTCTTTGGGGGATTTTTATAGGCATGTAGAAAAATATAGAAGGGAAAGTAAGAAAATAATGAAAGATAGAGGAAGTATTTCTATTTTTTTAATTCATTTGCGGAAATACCCATGCTTTCCAGTAACGTTCAGTCTCTTCATCTACACTTATCATGCTGTCAACCTGGCATTAGTCGCTATCTTTAAAATATCGTGTGGTCGCGTTCTTTGTCTATAATAACATCGCTACCGGTACCTATAAAAAGAGAACAAATTTTTGTTATTAAGTAGAGTTGGAGCTAGGATATTTTATGCAAGTAAAAAATCATCATGCAGGTATGTTGTAATGTGATTCCAAGAATTCTCAGGCAATCTGTATGTAAAGAGATGATGTGTAATCTGTATGTAAAGTGTTCCAAGCTGCATAATCTTATCAATCTCCATTTCTATTTTGTCCAACTAATACACGACTACAAAGTGTGTTTTTGCTTTCAAAGTCTGAGATTGAGACTTGCAGTGGACTGTTACCCTCCTTATCCTGAGAGTGCTGATGATATCCTTCTAGATGTAGAGAAGAAACAAGCAGTCTTTAGGAAGATCATTAGTCTCATAATGATAGAGCCTCTTTTTGCATTAGATATTTTTCTGTTAATTTACTTCTGCAAAATAAAACACAAATTCACCACAATACACCAAAACAATTTACTTTTGTACTGGACACGCATTACGCTTACCATGTTAGCATCAGCAGCAGATGATTAAAACTAAGTTTTAATCTATATTGATGATGCTAACTTAATGATGTTAGCTTTATTAGCGAAATGCGAGTCCGGTGCAAAAGTAAAATGCTTTGGTGTAGTGTGGTGAATTTTTGTTTTATTTTGCTGTGGTAACACCCAACGACCTCTAACCCAAGGAGGTTATAGGTCGTTGGTAACACCAAAGGTTCCAACCCTCAACAGTAATAGTTTACTTCTGTGAGATACTCAGTCTCGTCTTTGAAGATAATTATTTAGGGTGCGACAACATATTACAATTATATTATTCCAATTTCCAGGTAGGGCCTATAAAGGGTGCCAGTTCCAAAGGGAGCAGATACTGGTGGAAATTTTGTCGTTTGAGTCGTCACCTCACTAATCTGTCACAAATTACCCTTATCGACCCTGGTATTTCACATCAGTGGAAGCATTTCACCTCAATCTAGATTGTCTACAATCATACACCTTCCCTGCGATATTTGTTCCGTTTCATTTTCCTAATAATTAGACTACGTTTGTTTAACACCCATTTTCTAATTCCTTCCTCTGTTGCATGGAACGGCCTCTCAATAATCTTATAATTGTTAAAAGAATATTATTCTATTCTCTATAATGATCAGAAAATGATAAAGCGGATAGATTAAGAGAATGTACATAAACCATCACTCGCTTCTTTGTTTCAGTTGTAAAAGTACTAATTGGCTGATCCTTGACTGCCGGTGGTCTAACTTGGTCGAATAAAAACGCACATGAACATAACGTACGTATTCTCGCAACGAGTTGAAGATTCCGACACGATAATGAGTCGATTGTGCGAGATTATATAAACAGCAATCGAAAGAAACAGAGAGAAATTAGTAATCGTCGACAAAGACATTAATTAAAAAGCATTACAATTGATTGATTGTTTCTTGTGAGAGATGATTTTTCAAGTATCGCTTTGAACAATCGATGTGTGTTTTTTTTTAGTTTCCAGTACTGGTGCGGTTGCGTAACGAGTTAAATAAAGAAAAGGACTAACCTTGCGGTGGTACCCATTGTCTGTGGCGGACATTGCAAACTAATTTCGATGACAGTCAGCGAAAGTAAATAGGTGTCAAGAAGGAATTTATAACTGAAATATTTCTTTTCGAATGTCAGTCTGAAAGAATTCATGACCTTAAAGTACAACATTGTTGCTTTAATTCGAACTACTGTTTATTTACATTCATCTGATTACAGTTGAGGTTTGGAACCTTTGGTGTTACACAGCAAAATAAAAACACTAAATCACCACAATACACCAAAACACTTTTACTTTTACACTGGACGCGCGTTTCGCTAACCATGTTAGCATCATCAGCAGATGATTATAAACTAAAGTACAATCTACAAGGTGAGCGTTTATATACTCGCTCAGTGGGCCCCGAGTGGGCGTGGCAAAATCTAGCCAACCGAGTCAGAGCCAACTAAGCGTAACAGTTAGATTTCCGCCACTAGAGTAGTAGGAACAAAGAACTTGAAGGAACTTGAACTTTGTCCCTACTACTCTAGTGGCGGAAATCTAACTGTTACGCTTAGTTGGCTCTGACTCGGTTGGCTAGATTTTGCCACGCCCACTCGGGGCCCACTGAGCGAGTATATAAACGCTCACCTTGTAGATTGTACTTTAGTTTATAATCATCTGCTGATGATGCTAACATGGTTAGCGAAACGCGCGTCCAGTGTAAAAGTAAAAGTGTTTTGGTGTATTGTGGTGATTTAGTGTTTTTATTTTGCTACATTCATCTGTAAATTTCGAAGTTGATTCCTTCAGCGTTTATGTTAATTATATGTATGTGTAGCTAATGACTTATAGTATTTGCAATCACTAGTTGATTTGTATTTTTTGGAGTGATTCTTAATCCAGGATTGGTTGCCATATGAGAATGTTGCTTCTATTTTTAGAAAAATTATCATATCTAATAGATATGATATATTATGGTTATTATACTCAGCCACAGACTTGAGACCCACATAGTATTTTATACCAAATTAGCCTATTCAGTTGATACTTTTGAATAAGAAGACTAAGGAAGGAGCATATCAAAAATCTTAGATCCACCGCGATGGGCCTCAAACCTCAAATATGGCCGACTTAAATTCCGGTTTATCAGTGCCGTTCTAATTTTATTTAAAAAAAATGTAAAACTATGATGTAGGGTAGACTTGGGGTAGACTCAATATTATTTTTTTATTTTACGTTGTGAATAAATGTTGGTAGTTATTAAAATTGTTATAAAAATATAAAATCCTAATAAAATAGATAAGTTATAATAATTATTTATAACCATAAACATCCGATACGCTACTGAAGCAGGTAAGTCAAATTGACGTATCTAAATTCTTTGACCTCTAATCTTTGACAAGTAGTAAATAAAAGCAAAAATGCAAGAAAAAATATATAATTAGTTAATTTAAGTGAATTTTATAAATGATCGGTTTACTACACGTATGTATATTATATAGTCACCTACTAGAAAAAAAGTTGTTCCATTATTTCACTCGATTTTTGCCGAGATCTACCGCAGGCTACACAACCAACTATTTTAGAGTCTTTTTCGATAAATAGCGATAGTGTCAATGTTAATTTAAGTTCTGCCACAATTTCCATCTAGATTTACTACCTTACAACTATCAGTAGTAGAATAAATAATAAATAACATAAAATAAGCTCCGTAAAGACTGACAAATCCACAAAATTTCAAATCAAATTCAAACGTGTCAAATGAATCGTCAAACAGAACTGTCAAGGATCCCCACCCTAGAGTCCTTTTTCCGCCCACCATGCATGAATACATGGATAGCATTATGCTCCTTCCTTAGTCTTCTTATTCAAAGGTTGATACTGTCGCTGTCAAGGAAGATAAAAAACTTAGAAAGTATATTTGTTTTATTAACCAAACACTTATGTTCTGTTAGGAAATTATTCATAACAAGCCTATTTAAGGGAAGTCGAAAATATGCATGTATTTGTTGACGAGCAAAAAGTGTCAGTGCCACTGACGATATTTTTTATCCAGCTACAATGATTATTTTTTTACTTAAACTAGTATCAGTAATTTATAAGTCGAACTAAAGATAGATAGACAAAACACGTTATGGAAATATCCAATGCCTTTCTCATAACAAACTATATGATATGTGTACATCTCCAGAGCATTTTGACCACCTGTCTAGTATACTGTCATTGTGTAGGGATTATAGACCTTTATATATTTCTCGAACTTCAAGGGCACAGATTTTACATCTGAATTCTTCTCATTATACTATTTGGTATATAAAAATTACACAAATGTTTATTTTTATTTGAAATAATACTGATATTAATTTCATTAGTTGTTTTAGTTAGGTAATTTATAGGTTATCAATCATTCTTTTACTTGCATTTGCTTATACTGAAAATTACATTTTTCTTTATTTAAAAATCGTGAGATATTTCCTGGTGTCCAAATTGTTACTAATAATAAACAGTCCCCATTATTTTAATAAACATAAAATAAACAGACGTGAATTGCCTATAGATTAATTACATATTAAATTAATCTCCTTATACTATGAAATGATAAACTATTTGAAATAAATGAATATGAGGAAACCCATTCTATGTGAGTTTGTATAATTTTATGTACGCATTGATCGCTAATCCCATAGTCCTTCCCATCACGTTGAAGTATAATCTGTCATATTTGAAATGAACTAATGAAATTGCATAAAAATGCATGACGAAAACATACTCACACTTACTGGAATTATGTAAAGTCCCGTTATTTTATAAATATATGCCAATATGCTATCAATATCCTCTATTTTTACTCCAAAAATAGTTGACAAACCAAATGCGATACCCTGTATTATCTAGAAACTGATGTTGTAAGTATGGTTTCGTACCGAGAGTTTTCTGATTTTTTCTGATTCAATCAACTCTATTTGATTATTCTAATAAAAAACTAAATTTCTATCATGATTTTGAGTTGAAAAAAATCTCTTGAATACTTTTTGTAAAAAAATCCAACTGAAATCCTTAAATAAACATTTTTCTTTATTTTAGGCATGGCAGCTTCAAGTATGGGACAATCAATGGCGTCCTATTATAATCCTTCAGCTGCGTATGGTTCTTTGAGTGCAGCATCAATGGCAGCGGCTGCAGCAGCAGCACAGCAATCAGCAGCTGTGATGTCAGCAGGTTTAACAGGTCCTGGCCAGGTAAAGAAACATTCCTATTATAATTATTTTTAACATTCAAAATGTTATCTCTTAACAAGAGATAAAATTAAAAAATATATTTTCTGAACGCCTATGGAGTTCTAAAGTATTCGAAACTGGACAGCGGTAAATGAGCTGTCAGTTTACGATTGTAAACCTTCCGTTTTATATCTCCAAATTTTTATTCGCGCTTGAGAAACCGGGATTTAATTTGAACGAAACAAACTTCTTAGGTAGCATAGGACAAGTTCTAAATTTTTTATTTATATGTTAATTATATTCATGTTTCATTTTTTAATTTTCATTAAGTATTCATATATTTCCTATAATATTATGGAAATTTATTAGACTGATATCGTCGGCTTTATGACGAAAAGGCGTATCTCAATTTTTGCTACTTTTCAGGAGAGCAATTTAAAGAAAATCACTTGGTTTATTTGGCCAATAAATGTAAAGTCTTTAATTTTTTAATAGTGTTTTTGTATTAACACTTAAACAGAGACCTTGAGGAACGGTTCTGAAGATAAATTGAGCGTAAATTTTAATAAATAATGTATTTTTAGTTGTTTAATAGAGATAGGCCTTTTTGTTATAACAATAATAATGCCCATGTAAAATAAATTTAAAAATGACGGTAAAGTGTTATTAATAAGATAAAATAAATAATAATAAATACAATATTCACATTATGGAATACATACAAGAAAATACAATACATACATACAAGAAAAAATCTGGAAATCACCAAAAAATCAGAAAAAACTATTTTTAAATACTTTTATTCGCGTTGGATTAGATCAACTGAAAACAAAGACAATTTTCATTCCAGAAGCAAAGACAGTAATAAATTAAAATATTCTTATCTAGCTTATTTTAATAGTATTGTTTTTTGTACAAAAATAAATGTTTTAACCACCTAATATATTTTTAATAATTATTTAGTTCATTGAGTTGAATGACTGGTTATCACCAATGCAAAGGGGTTGTAGATCTTGATATTTTCTTAATAGGTATTATAGGTTTTGTTTTGGTTTGGTTTGGATAATAATTATATTTTGGTTTATTAGTAATTGCAATACAACAGAAATAAAAATTATCCAAAATGTCGCTTTTTTGTAAAATATTGTTCTAATAGAGGGCAATCAGTTTACACACGGTCTATTTAATAAAAAGCAAACAAAACATATTTCTTCACCCGTGCATTTTTGATACAAATAACTGTGGACTAACAGTTTCTGTTTTCCCTGTTCACTGACATTCTACGTGTTTATGCGAGATGATGATAGGCACTTTGATAGGTACAATAAATAACATTTTCCAAAAATTGGCAGGGATGACAATGACAATTGCCTGACAGTGATAATGAGATGAAAGTTATTGTATTCTTCGGGCAACTTTTTGGTTCGCTAAAATGTTCTTAGGGAAATTATGATTTCGGGAAATTTTCCATTAGGGCAATTTTCGTTTCGTTGTTTTGCTTTCGGTCAATTTTTCTTCGGCCATATTTATTCTCGGACAATCTTTTGGATACCCAATACAGCTATGTGCTGAGTGTAGCTAATTCTAACAATGGCTTTTGAAAAAAAACACTCAAAATCTGTAAAAGAGAGCTGCTGCCATGATAGAAGTTTTATTTTAACCCAAGCAACCATCAGAAAATAATTAGGCAGAATGGTGTGATTTTCTCTCGCATGCATTTTCATAACTTAAAACAAAAGAACCTATCTCAAATTCCATTTTTCTTGTAGTATAAAAATTGGTATAATAGTTGATATAACAAAGAGCCCTATCTCAAGATAAATCTCTGCGTCATAACGAAGAATTGTAGTATTTGAGATGGGGCAAATTTTTAAACGAATATAAAATGAAAAAGGTATAATATTGAGATGCGCAAATTCGCTATGTTAAAATTTGACCCATTGGGCATGTCATGACGTTGATATCTCAAAATCGCCAAAAATCGAGATACGCCTTTTCGTCCTGAAGCCGACGAAATATTCTTCGGTTTAATTTTTTTTATGACTAATTCTAATACAAATACAGTTTATTTGGAGGAGGTTATTTTTTCGAGTTATACACCAATGCCACACAATACCACACAAAAGATAGCCACAATGCAATTGTCCTATCTAATAAGTGTTCCCCTTTTTTGAGTTATAGCGGGTTATGACAATTCTTTGACAAACGCCAGTATCTGAGACGGGCACACAGAGGCCAGCCCTCCATCTTTGACATCAGGTACCAAAGTTTATGGCACGAACGGTTATCGTCTCGGCGCACTATATAAAAAGGTGTTCTGGTGTTTTCCCATTTTCCCCACAGAATCTGCATTTTCCGTTTCTCAGTTTCAATATACTGAAGTGTTCATTGAGGAGACAGTGTCCTGTTAGAAACCCCGTGACCATCCGAAGATTGTTCTTGCTTCAATCAAGAAAAATCTGATTGTTCTCGGTAAGTCCTGAGGAACTTTTTCAAGTGTCTTAGACCGTTAGATCATTCCCATTCCAGGCTACGGATGGAATCCTCCAGGTTCTTCAGTTCCGCTTTAAGCTGGTTTCCGCTTGGAACGCTGTTTCCGCTAAAATGTTTGCTTTTTCATTGAATTCTATCCCCTGGTGAGCGAACACCCAAAGTAGGAAGACTTTATTTTCTTTGCATAATTCGTTGACCTTCTTTAGGCATTCTTTGACCAACTTCAAATTGATGGTTACCGAGTTGATAGCTTTTAGTGCTGCTTGACTATCGGATAAGATGCGGTAAAATAAAGTTCTATGTTAGAAAAAGTGCAATTTTAGTTCTTTAGTCTACTTCTCGTTAAATTTACTGATATCGGTAGCTCTTCTTGCCAAGAACACTTAATAAAATATAGATTCATTTATTTGCTCTTTTTCACGTTAATTCAATGTATAATAAAATTAAAGCAATAAGGCCATCTAACGGTAGTTGGTCTTCTGCAGTATTATGCACAGGTTTAGTTTATTAATCTATAATATATAAAGAGTACTACAGGAAGTTTAGTGTAGATTCATTTATCTGCATTAATTATTTTCGCATGGATGGTTGTTAGAGAGAATATTTGCTTAATTATAATCTCTTCTACTTAATCAATTATTCTTTATAAAATAAGTCCGTTAATGACATATAATAAATATTAATAACTACCTAACCTAATATAAGTTGGGCTATTAAAATTTCTATTTATAATAACGATTGTCACCATGGTAGTACATTTCAGGAAGTAGACATTTCATACATTTTAAATTGCATAAAACTAAAGCTTCATTGAGAACCTCACAATTAGTTGAATAAATTAGTGGTTTTGAATTAACGTAGAAGTTTGTTCCTTTAAGTTCAATGTAAGAATTCAGAATGTCAAAATTAGTGGTAAATATTTTAATTGGTTAACTTTTCCACTAATTATAATTCAAAATTTGAGAAATGTCATTTTGGCCTTTGATTATCTTCCATCAAGAGAAATTGTGGTTATAAATCAAAATTTTATTGTTTTATAAACTAAATATGAGACTTTCTCGGGATACAACTGACTAACGCAAGCTGTTGTTAGGATATTCTATTAATTTTAATTGTGTTTGTTAAACATTGTAAATGATCGTAAACTAAAAAGTATAAAGTGTAATTGAAACCACTAATTTATTCCACTAATTGCGAGGTTCTGAATGAAGCTTAAAGATAAGGATTCATTCTCTTTGTATAACAAAAATATAATTTTATATTATACCCTTCTGAAGTAAAAAATGGTAATAATTCTGAAAGTTACCAAAATCAAAGCATTTCAAAGAAGTTCAATTTTGGCCTCAAAATGATTTTGAAATCTTGATATTTTACACTTTTTTTTTCAAATATTTCCATATTCTTCCATTCGGATAGAAGGTGGATGGCGATCTTCCATGGATTTTTTTATTTCTTAATTACGTACAGAGTGTTAGATAATTAAAAAATTATAAATGGAACCAAAGTGGATATTTTGGAAAATCGAAAAAAAGAAAATCTCTCGACAATAAAAAATAGTAAAATGCCCATTTACGATTATTTCTATGAAAATTTCTATTTTCCTATTTAAACTGTGTTTCTAAAATCTTGATATACCCCCTTGAAAAAATGATTTTTTTTATTTTTAAATTTTTTGCCTGGAATGAAATATGCACTAATATGCACTGTTTATTCGTTTTTTTTATCCCCAGTAGGATGATTTGTTAAAGAACTATTTCGTGCATATTATTGATGTCGCTAAATAAACCCTTCTATAAAATGTTATTCTTCTACCGTGCGGGCAACTGTTACTTTTGGGTCGGTATTTACATATATGTGGAAGTAAATCGCATAGGGATCTTATTAAGTCGGAGTGAGAGAAATGCGACGGAGTGCTGTTGCGGCGTTGCCGGTACGCCTGCGCCTTTCCCTATCAAGTAAATTAAAATCACGATCGCAAACCGCTTATTTAAAAGACTTTTTTTCGAAAAATTCCTTCCATTCAAAAATTGTAAATAACGCATCTATTTACTTTTAGAGCATAGCAATTTTCAGCAGTCGTGTAATAAATTTTTTATTGATAAAGATTTTCACTTACTGTCTACGAAGAAAATATAGCAGATATATTAAGAAAGTTTTTGAAAAAACTGCAGTCAATTATTTCTAATAGATTTCGAGATATCGATTTTTGAATTCGGAGTTCTAATAGCCCGACCAATGTCGAAAACCAACTCAATTCCACTTATTTTTACCAAAAATGCAAGTGTTTCTAGCTTGCACTTAAAAATTTTCAAGCTATAGCGAAAAAAACGACTCGTTAATAAATAAACAAATAAAGTATCACGAGACGTAATTAAATCGTGAAGCTGAATGCATGACGTACACCTTTCCCTAGAACTTTAAGTGCTGACAGGTACTGATTGGGTCGACCGGTCAACAGCGACAAATTTGCTATGTCCCCTTCCACGTCTCTTAGCAATGTGCACAGTTTCTCGATTCATTTCATACGT